CTCCGTTAGTGGCTGCTTTATCGCCGCCGCTTGCTCAGATGATGTACGTTCCGTTAGCTCTTGCGCTTGTCTGTTTTTTAAAATACAGTCAAATAACTACAAAATATACAAAACATAGTACAGTCCCATCCAAACTTTATGATAGCTCGGAATATCGAGTGACATGTACTCGTAAACAATTATAGGTATCGAGTTTTAGCGAAACGTTAAATGAACAGGCAAGCGCCCATAAAGTTTGGACTTTTACTACCTTTTATATCTACTATTAAATATTAATCAGAAGTATAAAATTCATTCAAATTAATAAGATATACAGAAATATAGACATCACACTCGTATGTGGAAGCTTTAGAAATATACGAAATGATTACAAAAACATAGGATAGAACATTCTAGATGATTGAAAAGCAGACAGCACGGACGAACTACGCTCCAAATGAAAAGAATCACTACTGATACTGTCCAAAATCTTTGCACATAATACAAAAGTGTATACCATTTACAAATGCGTAAAACTTATGGGAGAACTAAACTTATGTTTGAACTAAACAGTTAACTGGACAATGTCTTATGTACCAAATAAATCATTTTAATTAATTTTATTGAAAAAAGAATAATAATAAACTAATCGTTTTTATTGAAATAAGTACAAGGTATAAGCATTGATGTCGCCAACCAATGATGAATTGTCTATCTAGTCTAGGTCTAAGGAAGGAAGAAAGGGTCTAATATTATGGTCTTATTCGAAACAACATTTAAAGAGGGCTGTTAAATACCTATGTGCAAAGATTTATCAGAATAATACGTGTCACAACTACAAAACAAGCGGCACACTCAAAAATAACGATAATATTCTTGCCTCATTAAACTCCTGCATTGTCGGTTCGTTGTCGGGTGCAAAAAAAAATACAATGTTAGTGCACAGATTATAAATGGAGTTTTTATTGCGGACGTTTGTATACTTATTGCTGTCTATACAAAAATACATATAAAATTGGAGTGTCTATTTGTAATATCAAAAGAAAAAAATCCAGATTACAGGATTGCTGATAACGAGACGATGGGGACATAAGCCAGAAAGTGTTAAGAATGAATGTGGATGGCTACAAAGGTAGAGAAAGACCGAAGAAAGTATGGATTGTGTGAAAGAGGATATGCTTAAGAAAGGAGTGGATTCAGATATGACGGCTGTTAGAGATATATGGAAGAGCAGCACTGTGCTGACCCTCCGTAAGGGATAAGGGCAAGTTAATGATGATAACGAAAATAGCATTAAAAAAATTCTGTCTGTCTGTCCGCAAGCCGCGTTTGTTTCGGATGATCTCCGATACGACTGAGCCGATTTCGACAGGACCTTCACTGAAGGGTAGCTGCCATAGGCGGGCATATTATAGGCTACTTTTTTTAATTCAAGCTGTCAAAATGACGTAACGGGTGGTCCTTTATACAGAATAAGTATACAAATGTCCTCAAACTGGAGTAATACATTTCACCATTATTAAGGTTTATTATAGGGAAGCAAATTAGTCGTACTTAATTTTTTAATTGAATTAATGTAAATTATAATGAAAAAATAATTTCTATTAGTTGGTTTCTTGTAATTTTAGTGATGAGATACATAACTAATGGTCTGGCAATTAAAAAAAAATAGTTACTATAAGCAAGTGTGTTTGTTATGATTATAAAAATATTTGCCTCAAAACACATTCTGTTTACACACATTTTCTTACTAATATAACAGTTTTGGTCCTCTCGAGGTCGGATTTTTAGGACTTGTGTTTGAATTACTAAAAACAGTAATTCGTGAAAAGTTTGGATTGCGTTGCCCCTTTAATATATATTGTTCTCTTTATCTTTTATAAATAGAGTGAAAGAGAAATGTATACAAGTGTCAATTTAATGGAATTATAGGGTAAAAAGTTATGTAATTAAAAATTATACCTGTTTAATGCTTCGACTTTGACCATATGAGGGTCGACTTCTTGTTTGAAGTTCGCCAGTTGGGCGATCTGTCGCTTGACTGTGTCGATGTCGGAGCCCAGAGTGCCCATGTTGGAGAACTTCTGCTCCGCTGTGTCGAGGAACTCGAGAAGGTTCTAGAAGTAAAAAGAGGAATTATAGTCGATTTAGAAGGAAGGCGATGTTTATAGATTTAGATACATAAATAGCAAAGAATCTTACTAATCTTCAGGATATTCAGGAAGAACACATAGGCTAGTTACGATTTTTTTTAATTTCACGCGGATTCGCGGACAAAAGCTAGTTGATTAAATAAATTAATAAGGCTTTTGTACATTGATTATTGTTTCCTAATTTTAAAGAAATAAATGTCCATCAAATGTCATTACAAATGTCCATAAAATCTATACCTGTAAGGTGTCATGGAACTCCATGGCCTTCTCCATGGCATCGATGAGGTTCTCTTCTCTTCTAGCGTAGAGTGCGGTGATGTTGTCCCAGGCACTGTCCAGGTCCTCCATGTGCTTCTTCACCTCGGGCTTGTCAGGCTCCCCGCAGATAGACATCAAGGTAGAACCAGATTTACGGACTTTTTCAACCTGAGATACATCGGATATGTGAGTAATATGAAAAGGAATGTTTTACGCTAGACAACCTCATATGCAATTTTATATGCAGCTTCAACTGCAATCTCTTATGCAACAGCAAACACAACCTTATATGCAACCATAATGTTGAATATGAGATTGAATATAAATTCAATCTCATATTGAACCTCATATGGTATATCCTATACAATCTCATATGCAACCTTACATAGAAAGTATGTATAATGGTTATTAATATGCAACCACATTGCAAGCAACCACACATGCCACCTCAAAAACCTCACGCAGCGCCCTCTAACGGTCTCTAGTGGTCTCTAGCGGTCTCTGGCGGTCTCTAGCGCCCTGTAGCGGTCTGTAGCGGTCTGTAACTGCCTGTAGTGGTCTTACCTCAGGCTTGGTGTGGTCTATCTCGTGGCGGATCTCCTGCAGCGCGACCTGCTGCAGCTGTATGGC